ATAACGGTATGGTATAATGGCTAAATAATATGACACTTACGTATTACAATCACGCAGTCTACTAAACATGAAGAGCGTATTCAACTAAACATTTCGTATGAAGGATAATCAGGTGCCGTTTAAAAGTAATAAAAGTTAAAGGAAATAAAGATTTTATTATCAGTACAACTGATTGGGTTGGTCATTTAAGAATTATCATTATATTAAATGTCTTCCTTATAACTAGGTACTATATTATTATATAGTTTGCTTGACTATTTAGTCGTAATCTCACTTGCGGCTTTGATTTCCAGGCATTCTAGAAAACATTGCTCATTCAGATTCTGGAACATATTGCATCTGGGTTCGGTTGAATGATAGTATTTTATTTTATCGTGTTGTGGTAGTGCTATTTTGGCATTCCCAAAAACATGGTCCAACATCTCTTTTATAATATAAAATTGCATTTTTCAAAAAAGCGTCCATTATATCGATTAAAAAGTTTTAATGAAGATCGATCGAGTACGAAACGACATGTCTCCCAGGCTCACATTTCCGAACTTGTTCAACTTTGAAGTAATCCTTGAATGTTTGTTGACAACACAAGCGTTTACCCTGCAAGTCTGTTCTCGCTAATCCCTGTAACTTGATACAGAGTCTTTTATCTTATTCACCAAAGGGGTAAGCAGTGGTGTACCACTACTTAATCAAATACTCTTTTGTAAATTTCCAATAGGTTACTTGCTCAATGTAAAATTTGTCGCGTAACATTTTGCGCATTATCTTTCAACTCGGTAAATACAGAAGTTAAAAGTTATTTTTTTACCCCAAAATCCCACATAAGAACTTTCTTTTTCATTGCTTTTCATGTTAAATACTAAGAATAAAATTCTCCATCAAAATACTACATATGCAATAGACAATATTTTTCAATTGAAAATCTATTTCCAAGCAATTTCCCTTTGCTAAAACCTTCATATTCCAAGTAATATATAGGACGGAAACAACATGAATCGTGAAAAGCGGTCGACTGCACACTGCATAGGATGCAACAGACGTAAATACTTTCTTGAATAGATGTTTTAAATGACAGGCTCAGACCTTTAAGACTTACACTGTAAGTTTCCTAAGTAACTAAGAAACATTAAACTTTTTGATTATTTAGTTCAAAAGTCATCATATTACATGCCTCCTCTAATATAAGAGTGGATATCTGAGAGGGCTCGACATATCTCCACGCTTGATAGATGATTTGCAGTGAATTTTATGTATCGAACTGAAAACTATGGAACACAGAACTACAGTGCTGCTTAACCCTTCAGACTGTTTTAGCATTTAGCTGTCACAAAAAGAAAGACTAAATCAAAACTTAAATAAATATTGAAATTGTATCAAATTCTGGTCCAGACCATGACCTAAAAGTCTAGTTTATAATTCTAGCACAAGGTACGCTGATCATAGACGACTCGACCAAAGTTTTGCCTTTCTAGTAAGCAAATTGAAGTACATTTTGAAGTCTTAAAATAAGACGATATTGTTAAAGCAGCACAGCTCAAGGACAAGCCTTCAAAGTTCTTTAGAAAATGATGATTATATGAACTTTATAAGTATTGAAACTGTTTTCTATAATTGGTCGCAAATTCGTTGCTTGAACTTTTTTTCAAGAAAATTGATCTGTCAACAAAGAATACCTTTTAAATTAAAGAATAACAGAAGTATAAAAATTTCGACGGTATTCGAACACTGTCTGTTTTTGAGATGTATGCTTAGATAAATTAAAGTTTTATAATTATACTAGCTTCGTATGCGCATTCCCGTATTATCCCATTCTCGTTCGTGATTTTCAATGAAAAGTGAAAAATAAAATTGGATATTAAGTATCTTATGTCCGTCACCAATTTTCATCCAAATCGATTTAGTTGTCGAGTTATAAATTGTGTAACTAACACGTCTTTCTTTTAGATTTCTGTTTTTTTCATAATTATAAATTAAAATGTGCTCTTTTTGTAGGTACAGACTACTAAACTTTAAATTAATATTGGCGTACAGTCATGCAAGTCAAATACATATAATTATCAGGTAGAACCAACCAACTAACAACATCAGTAGTTATAAGTTCTTTGGCTTCGGTGTAAGTTTAACATAATTACATAGTTATTAGATAGTTCTAAACTGAAATGCATACTCTTCACTGTACTAATTAACATTTAGCTGAGCACTGACTTTAGTTTAGGGTAGACGACTAATTTTTATTTTAATGTCCGTCTGGTAGATTATTTAAAAACATTAGACACGTATTTTTTATTTTCTCACAGAAACGAATAGTTTCGAAGATATATTGATTTGAAATGTCGCGTGACGTCACTTCTCAGTACATTTTATACTAAGAAATGACGTTTTAGCCCCCACTCCTTAACTTTGATTCGTTTTATCTAAGTATTGTTTTATTATACGACAAAATAAAAAAATACGTGTCTAATATTTTTTCATTACCTAACTTACGGACTAATTATATTTTTAATTTTCATACCCTGTCATCATCCCCATTGAAGCTATCTAACTAGGGAAGACTGTCGAATCGCATAAAATTACTATAAACTTCATTATACATGGGAATCGGGTCATTTACAAATTTGGAAAGGGAGGAAATTAGAGGTATCTTGTCTTAAACTATGGAATACCAAACTATCCAAATTGTATGTATCTACAATTGGCAATTTATACGTCGCTGTTAAGGAGCATTTTAATTAAAATACTAAACTATTTGTATATTAATTGAAAAGTGCATGATCAACGATGAAGATTTAACCATTCATAATTATATTATAAACAAAATGTTTCATAGTGATATTTTCTAGATATAAATATCCGAGTAGGCATAAAATAAGATTTAACTCATTTTCAACTGTTTCTGAGAAGTACAAATCAATTAGAGCTCATAAAATATTAAAGGCTGTAAGGGCGAAGTGAATGGCTGGCGTGCAGGATCCCAGCCAGCTTTTCAGAGGTTTATTAGCATATAAATGAGTGGTGCAGCTTGCCTGCCCCCACCGACTACTTCATTTTCAACAAACCATGGAAATAGCGTCAGGCTAATTGCATAGAATTCAAGACAACGCAACGTTAGGAAGTACTTTGTTAAGGTTAGAATGAAAATAAAAGACTTTAAAGCGTTTGAAATATTAAAAGATAGACAATTCAAAGGTAAAAAAGTAATGTAAAAAGACATGTAAAGTTAGATAATTTCAGAGGATCATAGATGATTAATCAAAATATAACATGTAACATCTAAATCTTTAACAAAAAACAGTACTTAGTGATATATAGCATTGGGCATTTCGGGTTTTATATGGCTTACAACTCAAATAGTGAATTAGCTTAAAATAGTTAAATTGAAACAAAAAGTAATTTTATCGTCTTATAAACTTTAATAGTATTCAAAACTACATAATTTTATACACATTTTTACATATATATCTGTATTCTACAAAGGCTGCGGGCTGCGGGCCCGCAACCGCTGTGAGCGCGGAATAAAATCGCGCCGTAAGTCCTTAACCTAAACGTTCAATTTCACTACTATATGGTTCTGAAAAACAGGTAGAAAATATTATCTATGCGGGAATATTTCAATTATCCGACGATCGTGTGCAGGTTTAGAATTAATCCCCGTTCAACGAAGGATCATGCCGTATATTTGATCAGCGTTGATTTTAGATCTACCAACTTGAGCCAGCTAACAAATACGGCTTAACTGAACCGAAGTTGTGCACGTGGAAAATATGAACAGGTGTTAGGTTGGGTTTTAGAACATCGTAACAGTCTCCTTCATAATTACAAAAGGAAAAAATAATATCCCTGCCTAATTGTGATTATGCCTCTCCAAAAACCAAAAAGAACAATAATTTTAAGAAATGAGGAGCTACTTCTCTGCGCTGCAGTTACCGTTGACAGTCCAGTACTAAATCTGTATTTTGTCGTCATTGTCACAAATATAATTTCACACCTAAATGGCAATTGCCATCGGATAAAGCTTTAACTTCATTGGGACATGTCAATTGCACTAACGTGAATGTAATTCAGAGTCAGGATGTTTAGGGGAACCGTGCAGCTGTCAGAGTAGTGCCTTGGGCGACTGGCTTTCGTAGACCCATTTCCCAACTGTTCCTCTGTACTTGCACACTACATGAAGTGAAGTACATCAAATTTAGCACATGCCTCAGGCCGGATGATCCACTTGGATATGCACACAGACAGACAACCCGACGGACGGATCGGTTTATTCTCTGCATGAGTTCGGTTGGTTAAATTTTGAATGGTTGTAGCAAACTGGTTTTGAGAAAACCATATATTTAGAGTAAGAGTATGGAGATTATTATAGTTACGTATAAAATACATATTATACTTAGTTAATCATTGTTTTTCAGCTTACTCACGTAATTATTTGACGACAATGGTAGCGCGACAGTCACCTCATCGCGGTTCGCGGAATGCTGCTCATGAATATGAGACTCTAGCAAGGCTTGAAACTAGTCGAGTTCCTCGTCAAATTATTATATGATTAAGCCGAAAAACATACTAATTTAGTTAGTATGTCTCACGAAAGTTGTAATATAAACATATACCTTCAAGAAAAGAGCGTATTCCTTTTTAAAAGGCCGGCAACGCACCTGTGACTCCTCTGGTGTTGCGGGCGTACATGGGCGGCGCTGATTGCTTACCATCAGGTGATCCGTCTGCTTGTTTACGTCCCAGTCCATAAAAAAAAATATCTAATTATACTTATTAAAAATAGGTAATTCAATTATTATTTTGTCATTTTTGTTCAAACTATGGATGATAATTGTATTCCCGACTTAAATCGTACAAAATACGCTCATACTCCGCAGCCTTTGAATATCTACGTTTCGTCATCTAAACTAGATCTATATCTACAAGTACATTCAAAGCATGTATTTTTGAATTTTATGTGGCTTATCTAAGTTAGTACCTTTTTTATTTGTAATAAAACAAATGGAAACCTAATGTACCATAGTATTTTATATATTTATTTGATTTTTACCATCGCCATGAATAGTGAATATTTACATACTCGTATTTACGGGTTTTCTATTTCATTTTTATGCATTTTAATGCAGATTCCACAAAGTTCAAGTCAAATTATTTCAAGTAATACGACAGCAAGTAATGAGAATTCAAATGAAATAAGTAAGTAAATTATTAATTCACCGAGAGTCGAACCCGAGATTCCTTGCTTAATAGTCTTACTGCTACGAAGTGCTAGGTGCTAGGTGAGGTCTACCTGCTAGGCACAGCTACTACTAAAAGCAGTAACTAAGCAGAATTAATCCTCATTAATGGTGAAATGTTTTTTTATGAAAAACTCATATTACTTACCTATTTTTTGTAGATGACATTACTCACTTACATAAAAGTATGTACTGCAGATTTCAAGCAAATCATTATCAATGTGGTCGACCCCGGAACCCTTTAAGGTGTGTATATTGTATTGTCATGTTAGTAACACTATTTATAAGTCAAGAACGGCTGAATCGATGAAAATTGGTCCCCACCAATTTTCATCGATTTAACTATCCTATGTCCGTTTACTGGTTTTAAGCTACCTCGGGAGGTTATGTGAGGACATAGGATAGTCTTATACAAGGATTTTTCAAAAAACAGGAAAAACGAGAGCTTGTTGTAGATACTATTTACTTTAGATTTTCGTAAACTTTGTAAGTACTAAGTAATATTGAGCCGGCCCAATAACAGATTTAATCAAAATCACAATTTTTCTCAAATCTGAAATAGTTCTGCCTTTCAGATACTACTGGGATGTTCACGGCCAGTCTTGTCAACGTTTCTACTATGGGAACTGCCATATTAACTACAATAGTTATCATAGCATACCGAGCTGCAAGAATGATTGTGAAGGTTCCAATGATTTTTCTTCGTGAATAGTCTCTTAAGGCTGGTTAAAGTAGCAATGGACAGGTCTTTACTCAAAGCACCGAAGACTAATGGGTCAGGAGACTGGTCGAGTGGTGACCTCGGAATAAAAGACGTAGTGTCGGCAAACGTTCCAATAGATCGACTGATGACGTCGTCCGAGTCGCAGGGAGTCATTAGATAAGTGGTATGGTGAATTAAAGAGGAGGCCTTTATTCAGCAGTGGACGTCTTCCATTTGCTGATGTTGGAGATGGTGGTGATGGTGATAAATGCAAAAATTAAAATATTGATATTTGTTTGTTTAGTCTTGGTCATATTACATTACATGCGACATATAACTGAGAATTTGCAACCGAAATATATTTTTCTCTACTAAGGTAACCCCTTGCAATTCACTGTGGCATCAATGAACCACGAAGATAATAAAATTGTTGTGCATTTACACATAATGATAATATTTATTATAACATCTAAATACATTATAATACTTTCAGAGTACGCGCACGTCCCTACATTCACAAATGTCACAGCAAACGTATTTTGCTTTTTCCAACCTGAGTTTGGAAATTGTAACTCGTATTATCCCAGGCAAGATTCATAATATTGTTTCGCTTCTAAATTGCTATTCAAAAAAATACCATACCACTCACTGTCTCAAGTTCGCATCACATTTTTGTAAGCACAAACGCGCACACATTCACACACTTCCTCTCCCCTATTCTCTCTCTCTCTCTTTTTCTTTCTCTCTTTCTCTTTCTTTCTCTCTCTCTCTATCTCTTTCTTTCTCTATCTCTCTCTCTTTCTTTCTCTATCTCTCTCTCTTCAGAAATGAAAATAATTTAAAATTCTTTTTGCAGGTGGTATTATGACATAAATGAAATGAAATGCAAAGGTTTCTCATTTAGCGGCTGTGGAGGAAACCATAACAGATTTGATTCGGCCAATGATTGCATGCTTGCATGTAGTGAGATAGTCAACCATCACAATCGCGACGGTAGTCCAATACCTTAAGCCAGATTATTTTCGTGTAATAAATTATTCGTCTTTATTTGGTCAACAATTGGTATATTAATAAACGTTAATTTTTTTTATAACTTTCATTACGTAGCACTATCTTGCTCGGCTCTACCCTGATATGTCGATCCAAAACAAAGCAGTAAGAGAAAATAAAAACTTATTCATACTAGTGAGGCATTTAAAATGACAGTATTAGTGAAAAACTACATTAATTCTGTCATATATTTTTTTTGTTGCCGAATTTGCCATAACTACTAACTGCAAAGCTATAGTTCTTCTCAGTAGGTATCTAGGCATTATAGGTACTCTGGTAATTGAATATAGGACTTCATTTTATTTATAATGGTAAATATCTGCACTTTTGCAGTTTCAATCACCTAATTCACCTATTAATAAACTTTAACTTCTATGCCTTGCTTTGTAGAAAAGAATTTATCTTACGGCTGAGTATAAAATATGATTAAAACATAAAACGATGTTACTTATTTTAACATCGATAAGACGGTAGTAAAAACAAATAATTAAAAACACTCCCCAAGCATTTTAATCCCTAATAAGCAGTTGAGATGACTCTTTCCGTCCATCTTTAATTAACAAAATTGGACTCAGCTGTTCTAATTAAAGTGAAAATTTTCAGCCTTGGACCGCGATTTCACTTAAAGTATTTTTGTAAACACCGTGCAACCCTGGGTTAAATGGGACATTTGACATCTTGGATTTAAATTAAAAATGTTATGGTACAAAGACATGGTACTGATGCTGATAGTAAATGTATCTTAACCGACGAACGTCATGCATGCTCGTCGGTTTAGTTAGTCTGATGACTGATGAAGCGAAAAACGTATGTATGAATCGTAGCAATTGGCGTTCAATACTCTCCTTACCACCATAGGAGACATATGAGAGGATATGTATGTATGTTGATGGCAAATGTTAGGTTTACATCGACAGGAAGATCATGCTTACACATTGGTGCCCAATGGTTGGTTTCAGAAGAATTATCTCTGAAGGACCTTCCAATAGTACAATGAACTCTCTGCCGAGGATTTCCTAGTGCGTTACAACATGGGTTTTATCCAAGAAGGGATTAAATAGGTTTTTCGAGGTTCGGCAAAGTGCATGTAATGACCCCAGTGTTACAAGCGTTCATAGGCCACGGTAACCGCTTACCATCAGGTGAGCCGTATGCTTCTATTGCCACTGTCGTGATATACAAAAAAAAAACGTAAAGTATAAAGCAATGTCAACGGTGTGATGGAGAGTAAACAAAATAAATAAAAAAAAAATCATTTACCCAAAGTAAGATTACATTCCTAGACAAATGCGTAATCGAAATTTGAATTGAAAAGAGTATAAATAGTAATTTAACTATTTAAGCATATCAACACAATCTATTTGACTATCGGCAAGAAGTGTAAAGAACTTAAAACTCCAATCCAAATTAATCGGGGTTGAAGTAACTTGGATTAACTTTTGAGTCTGGATCAATACTTAGGTATTTAGTGGATCTTAGTTACTATTCAGCCAAAATAATGTACAAGCCATACAAAACATCGTTTCTTTTAATTTTATAACGATTCTCGAAAAACTATTATTTTTGATTTCAAAACTCAACAGAAGTTATATTATGCCTTGTAGGAAATGAAGGTGTGTACCTAAAGTTGTAAACCATTTCTAAACAAATAACTACATGTTCTTTCCACTATTAGGTACACGAAGCATTACCGGGGTATCAAAGTGCCTTAAAATTGGTTTTTAATAATAGCTTTAACGGTTTAAAAAGAACCCTTTTCGTTGAATAACAGTCGAAGCCTTAAGTTTTCATGTATGCGATCATGATGCGATCGCCTGAGTGCATTTTCAAGTCTCGTCAATATTTAAAATGCACTTCCCTGTACAATTATGTAAAAAGTTCGGCACGCCACACGATACTTAGACCAACCTACGTCTTTTCATTTATCGATAGTTCGAATAACAATGAACAGTGACAAATAACTTAATAACTAGGTACTTACTTAATGGTACAATGTACACTGTACAGTCATTACCAGAAAAAATTACACACATAACTTAACATCACGCCTTTTTATCCCCGAAGGGGTAGCCAGAGGTGCACATTTCGGCACTTAATGCCACTGTACAATGTAACACCCACTTTTCACTATTTGTGTTATGAGTCCCATGTAATAGGGGGTGAGCCTATTGCCATATAGGTACCGGGCATATTTCCAGACTCCGTGCTACCACTGAGATATTTAAAAACCCAGTTATACTTTGCCCGACCCGGGAATCGAACCCGAGACCCCTTGCCCAGTCGCACTTGCGACCACTCGGCCAACGAGGCAGTTAGAACGAGGCAGGCCAACGAGATACCAGAAAAAAATATTATAATATATATTCAGTGAAAAAGCATTTCTACGTATTTTTACATTAATTAACGCAAAATGAAGTAGAATGGAAATAAGGCTTTTCAGAGGAAGAACATAAGTTTAACTGCGTCTTTGTGGCAACAGGCTCACACATGTCTTTGTGGCTACAGGCTCACACTCACATTGTTAATCAATTTAATAAATAGTGAATCTCTGTGATCTAAAGAATATTACTAAGCCAAGAATAGCATCACATGAAATACATAACATGTGGGCATATTACTAACATGGTTAACATAAAATAATTCGGAAAATTCCAATAGCTAGCGTTATCTGTAGGTAGGTCCTAAAACAATGATTGCAAATAGTATCGAATTGAACAAATCCCTGCTAACCCAACTTTTATTGTTTTACCCTGTCCCGGCTCAGGACAAGGGGTGAAACAATAAAACAAATAGCTTTTTGATATTGCTAATTTTCTTTACTTTTATCCAGTCCTTTTCTTCGTGGAAATGGGATCGTCCGTTCTCAAGGCACTTATTCCTCAATACTTTGTTGCTATAGGTACTTAGCTTCGCAATGCATTTAATTTAGTTCCTTAACGGTTTTGAAATACAAGCTTCATTCTTTTGTAGTCAGTGTATACTCCGTTTCGTTTCTATTTAGCATTCTAATGGCTACCCGAATTTACTGTGACTTGTATCTGCTTAAGGGTATTATTCTTAAAAAAAATATGTAACCAGAGACGAAATACAATTTTGGTTCTAAATATAACTTATTGTTGGTTTCACTACTCTTTGGTTTCATAATACTACAATTTACTTTAAATATAACAAGTAATGGACATGAAGAATTTAAATAACAAGAAAAGAAAAACGTACATAAACCTTAAAATAAACGAACAAGATTATAATTTCATATCTCGTATTGAAGCGTTATGAAGTGATCCAAGATGCGTTCTAAGATGCACAGGTACTAAAGCTTGATCTAGGTGCTCCCTAAGTACTTACGAACTCGCTGGTGAACTGTCATAAGCAGACAGAATATCTTAAACGACATATTGTCTGATCTCCTTTGGTTTGCTCGGCTTTGGTTAAGGTCTACAAAAATATATGTTTATTTAGATAAAGCTTTAAAGTTATAACAATTGTTTATACTTTACTTCATTATTTTACGATTGGTGTGATGGCTGGACAACCGGCTCCCGCGCTACGTGTCGCGGCTTTGATTCCCGTACGGAGCAACTCTTTGTATGATTCACAAATTGTTGTTCCGGGTGTGAACGCACGGGTTTAAGTATATATTCTAGTGTGAGGCAACGTTAAAATAAATTGATTTCTAATGCCCATTTTTACTTACCTTCCTTAAGTTTTCAGAAACCCCTAAGATATAATAGGTGACATTTAACTACATTTTGATTTTAACTAGCCTATATTATGCCAGTCGCGGAGAACCTAACGGGTTACCGGGGCTCCGGCTCGACGTGCAGGAGAAGGAACGGGGTGGTTTTTAGTCAGTAAGAGTCTGACACTCCCTACCGCCTCACCCAGGCGAAAGCAGTCATTCGATGATTTTTCCCCCTTAAAAAAAGCCTATATTATGCCTAACAGTACAAGGGAATGAGTTTAGGCGCTACGTCACGCTGACTAAGTTTTAGTCAAGGAATGGTTAAGTGGTGGTTGGTGGTAAGAAAATCATAAGACCATGATGGCCAGTATTCAAATTTAGGTATTTCGAAAAAAATGAATAACAATTTCAAAATTTTGAATGACATTACTCAACTCTGAATTGTATAACGCTGTTAACGGTATTGCGTTTACATTTATATCAGGCGCACAGTAACAGTACAATGTGTTCCAATTTTCAAATACTTACCATATTTTTCCTGTCATCGTAATTATTCCCTGCTTTAAATAATAGGTACCTACATAAGTAGAACTGAAAAAAGTCAAAGAACAAAAATATTAATCGAACTTTTACTGGTGGCCTTTGACAAAATCAAAGAAATATTTATCATGTTCCGAAAAGACGAAAACTTCTAATTTATGAACAAACAAATTCATAATTTAATTTCTTTAACATAAATTTTAAATAAAACTCCTAATTATTATGTGGAGGTGCGTTACGAAAAGTGTATCAATCTTTTATAACGAAATTAATGGTGACACAGGGAAAACATTCCCGAAATTGAATGATTTAAAAGCTTTGCAAGTTAAAAAATGTCCTTAATTCATAATTACGGACTCAAATAAGGAAAATAAGTAATTACGTTAGCAAGAATCGCTTTTATTGGGGAAATTTACGGCGTAATTTGACATGTCGTATTTTTATATTGAAGTAGGTACCTTCGGTCAGTACAGTCTTTACCATAAGGGCAGTCGGGGTCCGTGCCCAGGGCCCCAAAAGACTGACAATGTCTATGACGGACACACACCCAGACGGCTGCCCCCCCACCGTGTAGCGGGTTCGATTCCCGCACGGATCAAATCTTTGTGTCATCCATAAATTGTTGTTTTGGGTCCAGACCCCAAACAACAATTTAAATAACATACATGCTCGAAAATGCACCCATGACACAGGAAAAAAATCCGAGTGGAGCAACGTTACAAAAATCCAAAAGGTCTT